CATTAGAAACACACTCTTAGATGTACCTGTTGCAGTGAGTGCCATAGTTGTTACTGCCTAATACAGTAGCAAGGGTGAAGGAAATAGTTGATATTATAGGATATAGTCAGAGGTGATGCATAAACACTGGTGGATGTATTACATTCCTGTGACTGCTGTACTGCACAGAGGAGGGTTTGGGTGGTGTGAAGAAAAAATGTGAAAGCTGTTTGGTTGGAGTTGTTAATTGGTCTTTGCTGCCTTTTTCCAAGATGTTATGCTTTTCTGTCTTCTTCCTGATAGAAATAAGGGCTTCTGTACTTCAACTCAGTATCACGTAGGGTAATAATGCAAAAAATGTGGGGTGTTCCTTTTTTGGAGAATCACTTGCTTCCAAGGGGTTCGTCAGTAGTCATCTTCAAGGAGCAAGCTTTTAGGTCTAGGCAGCTCATTAAGTAAAGCTTACATATTAAATGCAAAAATGTGAGACTTGATGTGGACATTACATAAGAAGTGCTGTGCAATTTAAAGAACAAATCAGGAAGTGTCGGAGTTTCAGTTCGTGCAGCAGTAGTTATTGCATAAAACCTCCCAACAGCTCTCCTGGTGACAATTTACAGCTATGTTGGATGTGGAGTGCTGGAATAAGAAACTTTTTCATTTGAGTAACTTCTTTAAAGTCCATGAACTCTGCTCAGGATAGACAGGTTCTGTTAATTAAAGCCTGTATCACAATTATCTGCCTGCCCTCGGATGGTGGAGGTGGGGTTTCACGTGAAACTCATCCTTTCCTGTTCTACCAGTCAAACTAAACAGCATCTTCACATACCTCTAGGGAATACTGAATCGTAGAATCACAGAATCATAGAGGCTGGAAAAGACTTCCAGGATCACCAGATCCAACCCCAACCCATCCCCACATAGCCCTAACCGTGGCCCTCATCTGCTTCGTTTCAAGGAGAAGTAGAAAATCTTTATGGAGAGCTTTTCCTTTCAGCAACAAGAGGACTTCACCTTATTTCAAGTGTGATTTGAGAACAATACTGATTCACAGGTTTAACTTGGATTTTCTACAGTATGAATATCATCATTGCCATTTTTCCTAGTGCTGGTTGCCTCCCCGGTTTTACAGGACCTGTCAAAATTTGTCATTTTAGCATCTGCAAATCACTGGAGAAGGAAGCTTTCCAACCCTTGGCTTTCCAGCATGGAATTCAACATTGGGATTAGATGGGAGGTTCCCAAAAATGGAGTTTGGAATCAAATGCCCAGGTGCTGGGCTGGGATGAAATGCTAGAAAGCAGGACTATCTAAAGTTCTTCATCATAAAACACCTTCTGCAGTTGCCTTACTGAATCCCAGTCTAAGAAAAATGCCAAGGTCTGAGTCTGTCCATCACTTCAGTGCTGTGTCATCAATTAGGGTCCATCTGAGTGCTTCATCTTTCCTTTGAAAGTAGAGAAGCCCTACTAACAGAATAGCTTAGGAAACACAGCATTCTAGCCCAGTGTCTAGAAACTTCAGATTGACTTGGGAGCCCGACTTACTGGGGATCAATTAAAGTATTTCAGTGTGAAGAGATTTAGCACTCTTTCGAAAGAGTAAGTGCACAGAAGGAAGAAGTGAAGAAGTAGCCAGGTGATGAGCAGTGGGCTGGGTACAGACTGCCTATAAAGGAGCAGAAGCATGAAGTTGCATGGGGTGTTCTTGTAAAAGAGTTGCAGAGTTGCACCTTCACACAGGTACCTGCATGTCCTCAGAAACAGCTTGATACTTTCCTGCTGTAAATGGGATGGCTTGACAAAACTGAGTTCAGTTTTGAGGAATGGTTCTGTTTTGCTTCCATGCAAACCCTAAATTTTCTCTCTCAATACCTAACTTTCCCACCGTTCAATATTATGGCCAAAAGCTGTCTTGGTTTGATGTAAACAAACCAAGACTATTGTGCTGCATACATGCCACTAAAGTAGAGGGGACAGAATCTCATTTAAGCTATTACATGTGTTGTCATGGACCTGGAGAAGGGCCATTCACTGTAAGGCTGCAACCTTCATTCCACCTTTCCTCTTGGTATTCTCTCACTGACATGGCAGCACTGCCACGAGCAGTCTGCCAAATCCAACCTGAATGCCACGTGGACAGCCCTCCTTTTTTCTCCTAAGAATGATCAACACTGAGAAGCTGGAGAGTTGCCTTTGAATTCTCTGGAATCAGGGCATCATTACCTATTTATTGTATTTCAGTAAGGACAGCAGTGGATCAGGATTGCTCCAGCTTTCCCCAGGGGTTGCCTTAGTTTTTTGCTTCCAATCAGTGTGTTTTTTGTTAGTGTTTATCAAACTCACATTTTGGGGTATGGGTTTTGGTTTCTTGTTGTTTTGTTTTTGTTCTTTGTTTGCAGATTACATTCTCATTTCTGCCCTCATTGTGTTTCCCTCTGTATCGTGTCAGCCTGTTTCCAGGCAGCCACTATCACTTGTTTGTTCCTTTTTCCTCTAACAAAGAGGCACAGGCAGCCCAGAACTGTGCCTGGCTCATCTTTATCTGCGATGGGGATATAACAGCATGGTCAGAAGAGTAATACAGAGACACACAGCCATTGGCGAGGCTGCTCTCTGCCTGTGGCTGCTGCCTTGCTCCACGTGCAGCCAGAACACGAGCAGGCTTCTGCCTTTTGCCTAGCTCCTTCTGTTGGAAAATGGGGATATTTGTGAGAAGTGATTACATCTAATTTCTACCCATAAGAGGAAACATGAGGGTTTGTCTGTGGTTACCAGCAGTAATGGCAGCGCTGTGCCTGCGTCTCCTTCCCACTCTTATGGAGGTTTCCATCTCAGATGGAAATTTACATTTCTTTTGGGCTTCCATCTCAGAAAGTTGGCAATCAGCCCTTAGCTTCCACATTTCCTGTAATGGTGGACACAATTATCTCTAAAGGCATAAACAAACAAACAAAAAAACTGGGGCAGACTTGCAGTCATTGCAGGCATCATCCTGAGAGCTGTTTGGTAAAGGAATACTGCAATTATTTGCAATGTGAATAGTGAATTTGTCAATTATAAGCAATGGGAAAGTGCTACTACTTCTAACTGCTGCTTAATAGGTAGAAACTCACCTACCTGTCCTCTCCAACATCAATATCTGGCTTTTCCTATAGCAGCCTGTGCAGCAATATTCCTGCAGGGTTGTTGTGCTGATGCCTTGGTCATCCGTGTTCTGCATTTCAGCTGTGCTCAGGGAATCAATCTGCAGGGCGATGAACTTTTTTTCTCTCCAAGAGCGAGACGTTTTTGTAACCTTCATTCTATCTGTCCTGGCGCAGTGTCTGCATGTGGAGGTGTCGTTCCCTGATACTGCGGACGCAGAGCAACAAACGCACGCAGCATTTATCTGCTCTTCCAGCATTTCTCTTGTCTCATCCTAAGCTTTCTGCTTGTTTTCGCCTGTTTTGGAAACTTGTAAGCCTTTGCAGATTCTTCTGTAATCGCTAACTATAGGAGCATGCAGCTCTACAGATAATGATGCTGAGATTCAGTCCCGCGTCTGTTTTTTTGGAGCTCATTCTTAGCAAATCCCATTCCTTGTGCAAGGTGCTCTTAGACCACAGGGACGGCTGTTCAACAGCTGAACAGCTCTGAGTGACTTACAGCCTTCAGTGAAGGGAAGCATCCTTTTAACTTTAGCATCTGGTTTCAGATGCTTGTAAGAGCACCTGTGCTGCAGTGGTGGGAGAGTTTCTCTTTTCATATGTGCGCGTGGTGCCAACCTGGTGATTTTGGGAAGCATCCTTGCTTTGTGTTCCCACTGTGTAGGGGAGGTACACGGGGCTGTAGATTCGTAAACATCCTATGCGTTTTAGGATCGTATCTCAGTCACTGGGTCATCCTGCTGTGTTGAAAAGTGAGCTAAGGCACTGCTCAGAGCTTCTTGAAAGCCACCATAACATACCTTATTGTGAAATAACTGCCAGTCCATGGGCAGATTCTGCTTGACCTGTGAGTTTAGCAGATCTTGGTTTTTCTTCAAATTCCAGCTGAAGCAGCTGTTCCAGGTTTTGTCCAGTACTTTGCATTATTTGCATTTAATGGCATCTAAGTGGGATGCTATTTCACAGCATTCAAACTAGAAGGCTACAGAGGACCCACCTGTGTTCTGAACTGCTTCAGTCAAAGGAGAATGCAATCCTATGGACAGGTGAAGCTGCAGTGATTGGTTTGTGAGGGTTTCTGCCAGCACTGTTAGTGTCAGCACAGCAGTAATTCCAGTGGTTGAGGCTGGGTCTTGAAAAAGGAGATCCTCACATTCAGGAAGGAATCTGTAACCTCCACAGTGAGACAGGCAGCATTGCTAAACAGTTTTCAAAGCGGGCATGGAGGGGATGATTTGGGGTTTGACTCGATGACTGCAGAGGTTTTTTCCAATCCTAATGTTCCTGTGAGTCCAATAGAAATCTGTCACAAGCATGGCCTCATTATGAGGTACTTACATGCCTTTTCTGAGTGATAACTCAGAAAATGACTGCTTTGCAAGTAGTAAGAGTAGATGCCAATGGTTTCAGTGCTCCTACCGCACAAAAAACTCAACTGTTGATGAGATTCACATTCCTGGCAACCCTGTAGGGTCTCACAGCCTGTTGTTTGATGTGCTGGAGGGACCTTATTCCTCTCTGACACGGACCAAACATAAAATGTGTTGAATTTAATGTATGCTGATATGTTGGAAGACCAAGATTGCTTAACCCTCAATGAATTTGGTTACAATATTTGCTCACTGGGACGAGCAGTGGCTCCGGCTGAGAGAAGAAAGCCATGCAGCTGAACACTGTGCATTTCAGATAAAATTTTGGTGATTTCAGGAGAAAACAGATCTCTTTGCCAGGACTCAGGGACGCTGGATTAGCTCACCATTGAGACACTGACCAGCCAATAGCTCTGTTAGTAATGGTCGCTGTGAACTGTCCTTGTTAACCAATGCGTTTTACAATGGAAAAGGGCACACTCACCTTCCTTTCTTTCTTGCAGGCACAAGACCTGAATGTGATTGAGGAGGTGATCCGGATGATGTTGGAGATCATCAACTCCTGCCTGACCAACTCCCTCCACCACAACCCCAACCTGGTGTACGCGCTGCTCTACAAGCGCGATCTGTTTGAGCAATTCCGGACCCATCCCTCCTTCCAGGACATCATGCAGAACATAGATCTGGTGGGTGATCCCTTGTTTCGGGGCTGCGTATGCTTCTTTATTTGACCTTTTTATTGTTTTTGGAGGTGGGAAATACCTGTCCTCTCTATGTTGATTCTTACCTCTAAATTGGAGAGGAACGGGTTCGAAGGACTGGACTATTTGGAGGATAAAGAATTGGTTGGATGGTTGCAACCAGAGAGCTGCAGTGAGTGGCTCTACATCCAGGTGGGTGCAGTGATGAGTGGTTCCCTCAGGGGTCTGCTTGGAACTGGTGCTCTTCAGCATCTTTAAGGGTGACACAGGTGATGGGATGGAGTGCAGTCTCAGCAGTTTGCAGATGACACCAAGCTGAGTGGTGCAGCTGACACAGCAGAGGGAAGAGATGTCATCCAGAGGGACCTGGACAGGCTTGAAAAGCAGGCCCACATGAACCTAATGAGGTTCAGCAAGGCCAAGTGCAGGGTGCTGTGTCAGGGCAATCCCGGGTGAGTACAGACTGGGAGAAGAACTCACTGAGAGCAGCCCCATGGAGAAGGATTTGGGAGTTTTAAACTAAAAGAAGGAAGATTTAGGTCAGATGTGAGGAGGAAACTCCTCATTCAGAGTGGTGAATCCTCACTTAGAGCTCTGCTGCCCAAAAAGCTGTGGGTGCCCCATCCCTGGAGGTGTCCCAGGCCATACAGGACCCTGGGCAAGCCTGACCTGTTGGGGGCAGCCAGCCCACAGCAGGGGTGGGTCTGGGGAACTTCAGGGTCCCATCCAACCCAACCATTCAGTAGTTCTGTGATCATTAAGTTCCCTTCCAATCCAGTCATTTTGTGATTCTATGACAGATAAGAGACCTCTTCTGCTTGTCCAGAACCAGGCAAACCCTGGTGGCCAGGTCCTTCCACCTGCCAGCCTCCCACAGAAAGCAGCGTGCCCTTTCCTTTGTTACAGCTAAATGTAGGTTTTCCTCAGCAATTTAAACTGTTACAGTTCCTCCCCAAATGTATTTAATACAGGGTTACAGCATAACACCAATTACATTCTAAAACTATTTTAAGCTTTCCAAGGGAGCACACTGCCTTTTTAAATAGCTCCTTTGTTACAGAAGCAAGGATGTTAAAAAAAAAAAAAAAAAGATTTTCTAAAGAATATACCTGTCACCAGTTGGCAAGTGCTGGGAGCTCTCAGGCTTGCAGATCTGAATAAGAGATGGCATTCAGCTGACTCCTCTTCCACCCTGCCACATCCTCTGGTTCATACAGGGGTGGTAGTCACGCTGTGTGCCTTTGCATATAATGGCAATAAGCAAATGCCTCTTCTGGGATATCCTGTCTATCACACATCTCTTGCTTTTCTCCATATAAAAGATATGCTTTTAAACCATATCTCATTGCAGTACTGTGCTATCAGGATTAGAAAGAACTCGATATGGAACTCCAGTTCCATTTTGTCTGAAGAAGAAAGACAAAGATTAGAGATGTGTATTATTATTTAAGGGGATATTTTTAATTTCAGTCTGCACATCAAAAACAGCAGTTCAGAATTCTGTGTAATTGTAACATGCTGTGCAAATATTGGGAGCTCTCTGGACTATAACATCTGTAACTCTAAAACACTAGAAATCTTTAAAACATGGCCCAGAGTGGAGCATTTGGCTTCCTAAAATAGGAGTCACCAGATTTCAGATAGCATCTGCAAGCTCCCTTCATTTTTTATGTATACACTTGATGATTGTGTTTTATCCTTCCGATTAAAGCCTAACACTAATTTTTGCCTTCGTGGTTTAGCAAAACCTTTGCATCTGAACTCAGCAATCTTCCTACCCCATTGCTTTTTGCAAGGACTAGCAATCAACAGCTCTGCAGTCCGTCCCTGCCTGTAAGGATGCAAACCCTGCTGCATCAGCCAGGGGAAGGGGATTCTTGCCTTACTCGACCATGGCAATATCAAGAGAGCCAAGCAGGTCAAGCCTGTATTTTTCATCGAATGATTGCTGTGTTTCTGTTGTATAAAACAGAACCAAAACATCTCTCCCTGTTCCACTCAGTTGTTTCACAGTATCTAGAGAAAGTTGCTCTGAGATCCAGCTGCCCAAAAAGAGGGCTAGTGCTTTGGAATTGCAAGAGAGGACCAACAAGCCCAAATCACGAAGCAGTCATGCCATCAGCTGCCTTTGTTTTGTGAGCAGCAGCTGAGCTAGGAGGTGCAATTAGGCTAATGCGTTCTGGCTCCAGCTGCCAGTTGCTGCAGAACAAATAGATTTTGCAGCCAATATACTTTTCCCCCTTTTACTTGGGACTATTAGCAGAGATTAGTTGGTGTGACGAGGCTGTAATTTGGGCACCTGTGGGCACTGCCACTTTGCAGACAAGGCTACAAGTCAGGAAACCTAACAGCAGTGTGTGCAGACAGTGGGTGCTGTGCATGGCTCCAACCAGGCTGCCAAGGACAGTGCAAAATGGCTCCAACCATCCTATTTGGGGCCTTCCAAGAACCTGAGGGATTTAAGTTTTGCCCCATATCCATCACTCAGATCTCCTCTAGAAGAGGGGATGGGGTTCCCAAAGTGTGCTCTTTTGCAATGAAAGGAGCTCTGGAAGGGTAGGTTTCTCATGTCCCCAGTGGAGAACTGCTGGTGGGATGTTGGCTGCTGTTGTAACTTATTGGGCTTAGAGAGGGATGAAAGTTGATCTGACCCAACTGTGGCGTGCTTACAAGGATCAGCTGGGATGCAAAAGCAGTGCTGAGGGGGATGCCTGGGGAAGATCAGCTTGGCCTCTTCAGGGAGAAATGCAGGAGAACAGTGAGAGGGAGTGTATAGGTCCTGGGATTTGCCTCATGGAGGATGGCTCATTTGGGGAGAAGGGCAGCTTTGTGGGTTTGCTTTTTTTTTCCAGTTGCCATGGGTTTGGATGCTACAAAATCACCAAGTGAGTCCTGTAGACCCTTGAAGTTGTTTAACGGGTGCTCTCGAGTCCCCTGTTGAGTAGATATTGTAAATACAGGAGTTTTGCTTCAGTACTTGAAAACTAGAGTAAATTTCTGGCCCAAACTACAGAAAGTCAATGGGAATGCCTTGAAAGTCCCGTGTGTGTGAGAAAGGTAAGAGCTGAAGAATGTTGATGTGTGCAGTGTTTGAAAACCTTATTTGACTAATTCAGCTGAATGTGTTCAACAGTGAATTCATCTACCCCTTAAAAATACCTGCAGAACACTGACAGTTAGGCCAGTGTCTCATCCACAGAGTGTACCTAATGATGGCCCAGCAATAGCGTACTGCTCTGAGAAGTGCAGAGACATCAACCCAGGAGAAGAAAGCAATGGCTTTGTGTGTGTATCGATACAGAGATCCCTCCCGTTTGCTGACGTGCTCTGATTCTCCATCACAGGTGATCAGTTTCTTCAGCTCCCGGTTGGAGCACGCCGGAGCTGACCTGTCGGTGGAGCGCGTTCTGGAGATCATCAAGCAGGGAGCTGTGGCTTTGCCCAAGGACAGGCTCAGGGTAAGTGCTCGGCTCATCAGCTAACATATGCTATTCCAGTTAATTACATACACACACTTTGTATCTGTGACACTGGAACGTCAGTAGCAGTGGATGAGGGACCCCGTGGTTGATCGCAATATCTGTGTGGTTTAATTATGCGCTAGTTTGTGCTAAATGCTGGGGTGAATTTTCTTGATCAGTCATTAAATTGAAGTGTGGAGGAAGTAGGATTTGCTGAGGCAGAGATTTTCTTCATCATATCTGTTACGTGTGGTCTCACCTCTCTGCCCATTCAGATGTAACGAGGCTGTCATCATCCTCATTTTTACTGGCACATTCTTTCCTTGGTGTTCCACGTCTCCATGTGGTCTGTATAAAATGGTACGCAGATGAATTCTGGGGGCTTCAGTCTTGAGTTATGGATAAACCATCCCACTGGAAATCAGTTCAGGGTGGTCAGCGCAGTGATAAGCTGTGCGTAATCCTGAGCAGAGCCTCCAGAGTCTTCTGAGAGCCTCAGATCCAGGAGGGATTCAGTGCCTCGATGGGTTTTGTGAGGCTGAAATCCATGATGGGCTGCGTGGTGCTTAAATGCTGTGATAAAAATCTGTGCAGGTGGGTAAGGAAGTAAATGGGAGCAATATGGTGTTTTGCTGTTTGTTATTTTTTTTTTTTTTTTTTTTAACACAAACAACAGTGTTTGCTTCTCCACTGTGCCAAGAATGTTTTAAATACTTCCTGGTCTCTGCAGAGCCATTTCTGTTCTTACTCTGTGATAAGAGAGCAGGAGTGTCTTCTCAAGCCTCGTTTTTTTGTGATAACTTGAGGAAAATGCCATCTGATGAGAAGTGCAAAGTACACGTGGCCACTGGCAATGGCAGTAATTAGTTTATACCCTGGTAATCCTGAAACGCCCCGTGGGAATTGTCCAGCTGGCTGCATGCATGGTGTCTTTCCTGCAGCTCCCAGCGTCCCTGAGGCAGTGTGTGCAGTGACTCGGCCAGGCTGAGTTACTTTGGAAGAAATGGGCTGCTTTTTTGTGACAGCATTTTCATACGTGCAAATAATTGAAAGCTCTTTTGTTAAGGGACTGCAGTGACTGCTGACCTGCTGACAGAGCCATTAGTAAATGAGTTTGTTGCTTAGGAAAAAAAAAAAAGAAGAATGGACTTTCGTGTTAGGCCACAATTTATGGAAGTGTTGTTTCAGGAGTGAAATCCCCTCAAGTTTACATTGTGTGCACCAATGGTTTGGTCTTTCATTGGTTGCTTTCTTGCCTGAAGAAAGCTGGTGACACTGACCTGCATCTGGAACTGCTGCATTAATTTGTAGAGGCACAAACTCCCTTTCTCTGTAATAACTTTGCTATTGAATAGCACTCAGTTCCCCTCTGTAGACATCACATGGTGAGCCTTAGTGCCATCTGCCCTTCTCTTGTAGGGGTCTTCCAAGTCTCCTCGTTTCTCAGGTCTTCCCATTGCAGTCTCTGAGGTTTCAAGGGGAAGCTCTTCCAAAGCTTGACAAAACCACAGTAAGATCAGACTAAAGATAGAGTTGCACAACAGTGCTGGCAGCTCCGAGGAATTTCAGCAGCTAAATAGAGGAGAAAGCTTTAATCCTCGTGTCTGTAATGACACTCTGGGCATGTCTGGATGGGTGGAGAAGCCCTACCCACATTGGCTCAATGCACAATGGGCTCAGTGAGCTCCTGTGTGTGAGCTGGAGGCTGTCTTGCTGCACTGACCAACCAACGATGCCTACTGAAGGACTTTTCTCTAAAAGACTTTGGTTTGGGCATGGCTAGCTCAGGGAAGTGAATTCAGGGAGCTGGCTGCTATCAAGACAACTTCAGGAATATATGGAGGAATGATGGGTTGCATTAGGGTTGACATGACCCATGTGGATTTACAGAGTGCAGAGTGATGGAGTTTAGTCTTGAGAGTTTTTGGATCAGCTTTTCAGTTAATTATTAAGTAATTTTCAGGCCGTTGTTGCTTTTTTACAGAATCACAGAATGTCCCAAGTTAGAAGGTGCCCACAGGGATCACTGAGTCCAATCCCTGGCTTTACACAGCACCACCTAAACTCAAATCCTATGGCTCAGAGCAGAGTACAGATGTTTCATGAGCTCTGGCAGCTGTAGGGCACAAGGGAGCTGAAGGGCCATGAGGGGCTGTAGGGCTGTGTGGGAGCTGCAGGCCACCATGAGACCTCCCCTTAAACCAAGGGACCGTGGCCACTGCTCATGCTCCATTGCTCATACTCTCAGGCCCTTCCCCATCTCCCTTTGGGTGCTGAGGTGCTCTAAAGGAGTAGTGTTTCTACGTGGTTGATTCTAAGTCTAGATTGGACTAGGTGATCTCTGTGGTCATCTTAGAGGTCTTTTCCATCTTAGAGGTCTTTTCCAACTTGACAATTCTATGATTTTGCTGCTTCCTAGAAATTGCCATCTTCAACTTAAGCTCTTTGGAGGATGTGCTGGAGGTCCTCATTTGGAAAAACAAGCAGTCAAGCAGTGTTTTAACTCCCTTGCTTCTCTGCAACCCAAACAATGGTACTTTTTCTCATGTATGTGTACTCAGTTTATGCACAGATAAATACAGTGAATGTTTTCCTGCTGCTTATCTTGGCTTTTGTTGAGGAAGTGAGCATTCAAGAGGCGTTCTGTGCATTCAGATCTGGAGTCTGAGTAAAGGTAACCTAAAAATAACTGCACTCACCACCATGATCTCAATCTGCATAATGGAGCTTATCAGTGCGATAGCACACCCCAGTGCTCCTTTCCCTGTGGGAAACACTGTGTGACAGAAGGGACATGTGTGTTAGCAGCAGGTCACGTATGTGGGCCTGTGTCTGCAAACAACTGTAGGGAGATAAGGGATGCAAATCCTGTTTTCCTTTCGGTCCTGGAGCAAACACGACTACAGTGGAAGACAAACGATTTAATGAACGTTATTTTAAGCTTTTAGCTCTGTGCTGCGGAAGGCACAGAAAGTCCAAGCTGGATAATTAGCCTTGTAGAAGATTTTTCCAAAAACACAGAGATAAAGGGCAGGTGCTGAAATCAAGAGCTGCTTGTTTCTCTTTGGTATGTAGGAGGAGATAAATGCAGTTGATGTGCCTGGGACAGAGCAGCAGCCGTGGTTTGGAGATAGGGCTGTCTCCTCGCGGATGAGCAGCCGCATCCCAGGCTCCCTGCTTTATTGCAGAGCTTATTAAAGGCAATTTAGAGATCACAGTGATAGGTGAAAATTGGTCTCCTTTATTTTTATTTTGTGAAGTTCTCAGGCTGCCTTTCCTCCCTTTGGTGCAGTGTGTGTGTGCTTTCGGCGTGAGAGCAGCACAGCAGTGCCTGGAGCCTGCCTGTTATCTCGGGGTTTCAAGGGAGCAGCCAGCAGATAACTGCTCTTCTGCAGCATGTAGGAAAGCTTGTTTGCAATGCCAGCTGCTGGCTGGAGGCTGACATTTGGGTTCATGGACTGATCGCAGTCAGAAGGCCACGTTTTCACAAAAGAGAACATCCCACCAGCTGTACCGGTTTAATCAGAGCCCTCATGGTCATGAACGTAGTTTGAGATGCTTATGTGTTTTTTTTTTTCCCTGCTTCCTAGAATCACAGAATTGTTAGGGTTGGAAAAGATCTCCAAGATCATCATGGTGGAGTCCAACCACCAACCCACTTCCTTGCCTCCTGTGTCAGTTGGTACTTCTGTCGCAGCTGTGCATGCTGTTGTGTGTTCCTGATGTTAGCAGCTGTCATGCTATCAGCTCACACCCTTTTGCCATGTCTGATATGGCAATCTAATCTTGAATTCTAATCTAATCTTCCTAATCTTGAAATCTAATATTGAAGTGCATTCTCCTTTCACAGCATTAAAATTTCACAGAATAATTAAAAAGAGCACAGGCAAATGCCTTCAGTCTGGGCAGAACAGGCTTTGCACTACGTGCTCGAAGGTTTTCTCATAGGTTTGCCTTTCTGTTAGCACTGTACTTCCAACTCCTTCAACTTCTGTTTGTTTCATGGAGAAGAAATCCCTAATCATCGTGGCACCACCGAGCAAAAATCAGTACACTGTCATGGGAGTTCTGTTTCCAGAGTCCTGATGTCTTTGGTGCCCAGTGAGTGTTTTTTGATGCTTGCTTCAGAGTGGCAGAATCATAGAATTGTTAAGGTTGGCAAAGATCAATAAGATCATCACCAAGTGTAAAGCCAACTCATCCCTACTGTGCCCACTGGTAGAATCATAGAACCTTGGGGACATGATGAGCAAGCATGGTGGGGGTGGGTTGATAGTTGGGCTAGACGATCTGAGTGTTCTTTTCCAACTTTAGTGGTTCTGTGATCCTAAGATTCTAGGAAAAAAAGATCTAGAACGTTTTCCTGGGACTTGTGGTCAGAAAATAACTGGTGAAGCTGTCAGCACTCAGCTGGCTCTGGCTGATTTTAGGTGGGGATTAATGACCTGTCTGTCTGAATGGGCAAGCCTTGGTGCAGGTGCTCTCCTATTTGTGTAAGCCCAGCTGCTGAGCTTGTTGAGAATGAGTTGGAACTTAGCTTTGTAATGAGTACATCCAGGAAAGGGTTTATATTGTTTAAATCTCTGTAATTAAATGGTGCAAGTCTGTGTGTAGGCAAGATCTAACTTATACGGAAAAATATAAATTAAAATTGTGTTTATTATAGTGATTAAAGTTCGGTGCATGCTGACATAGTTCAGCATGTGGGAATTTTGGTTGTGCATTTCGTAGAAACTTTGAGAAGAAAGATAGCACAGCAGCCAGGGTCTGTAATCCCAGAGGGGAACCAGAGCACACCAGTTTGGGGGTGCAGAAATAAATGTCACAGTCAATTCAAAGCATAAAATACGATCATAGAATGATTGAGGTTGGACAAGTCCTCCCAGCTCCCCAGGCCCAACCCCAACTCACCCCCACCATGCCCACTGACCACGTCCTGAAGTTCCACCTCTCCGTGGTTCTCGAACATCTCCAGGGATAGAGTGCTAACAGAACTG